GCTCCGGTGTCGGCCACCAGTTTAAGGCCCAGATTCTCGGCCTGAGTCACGTCGGCGAGCGTAACGTTGCCGGGCTTTCCCTCCACCTGCGGGGCCAACACAACGTTGGCGCCCAACGCCCTCATCATCGACGCCCGTTGGGGGCTATTGCCGGCCGACATCGTCAAAGTCAGCGGATGGCCCAACACAGCGGCCACAACCGCCAGACCGCAGCCCTGGTTACCGCTCGTCACCTCAACGATGGGTCCGTTGGGCTTGAGTTTGCCGGAGTCGAGCGCTCTCTTGATCATCGATAGGGATGAGCGGTCCTTAATGCTGGCGCCCGGGTTCATGAACTCACACTTTGCGAGTATACGGCCCGGACCCGGCCATATGCGGTCCAACGCCACCAGCGGTGTGTTCCCAATCAGCTCCAGTGCCGACTCTTTGATGTCTGTGGGTCCGTATGTTTTGCTCATTTTTGATACTAATTAATAATAATTAAAATTAATTATTTTTTTAATGATATGTTTTCAATAGTGAGACTATTTTTGACTCTGAATTGAGGGGAGATTTTCTCACAGGATTTATATGTTTTTAAATATCCATATCTTATCGCACCGTAAAGTATGTTAGGCTTGTATTAGTTACTATGTAAGTGCTTCCCATCGAGATATACAGACATATCTGTACTTTGACATTGTGTAAATGATAACTTATCATGTAAAGTATTGGGCGATATTGGTTATTATAATTTATACTAAATATATGATAAAGTACTAAATATGATAAATTTTTTAGCATTTGCACCATTTCTAGTTCAAAGGCACGAGAATAAGATTAATCAATCAATTTGTTATAAATTATACCTAGGCACTTATCCCAATCACTCGTTTATTTGTAAAACATTAAAATTGTGAAATTCAATTTAATTTAATTCTGATAATAATTTAAAAATTAATTAACTTCTTCATTTCTAATTAAATCAAATCTATTCAATGCTTTAATTGTCAAAGACATTTAATTGATAAATATTATAACGTGGTTTTTATAAATTATGAGGTATAAAGTAAACAGCCTGTGATTTATCACCTTCACTATATATTTACGATTATTTACAAGTGGCTTAAAGAATCATCGTGGGTTTATTCTGATGTAATAATACATTAAACAGTTGCAACGAGTTTACAAACCAAAGTGGAAAGTAAAGTATTATAATTTATAAAGGTAAGGACACCTGTACTCTGTAAAATAAACTCATGTATCTATTTTACGGTTTTATATATAAATTCCTGATGTTGAATTGACATTGTTGATTGAAATAAAGTTGGTGAATATGACATTAACATGACATTAATATCAGCTTAATATATTTAATTAAAATTTTCAATACATTATTTTTTAAAAATATTAATTAATTGTAAATTTCAAAAACATATTGACTGAGAAATTATTAATCAAATAAGTTTAGTTATCTAAATTATAATTCTTTATATTAAAATTTATAAATTAAAATACTATTATCATTATGAAAGTTTTAATATTTAAAAAATATAATATAAATTTATAATAAAAGTTACATCTAAATAAACTATTTAAAGTAAATAAATTAAATAAACTTTACATTATATGAGTTCAAAAACAGATATTAAAACTTAATTTAATACTTGATCATCTTTGAAGTGTCTCAAAAATCACTTCACAATTGTTACAGTTGCAATTATTACACTTGCAATTTTTGCACTTGCAACTTTTACACTTGCACTTGTTGGTAGAACTTACAATTTGCTGCAATAGATAACCAATACATCAATCGCAATTTCATGTCTTAAATATCTCACCAAACATTTATTGTAAATACACCAACAATTTTATCAATTAAATACATTTTATATAAACATATTTACTTACATTTTATATCCACCAAATGTTTGTTGAAAATTGGATCCACTTTTTCAGTGTTTATTCTCAAAATACTAATCAATCAAATGGATTATCAAATATTTATATATCCGGCAATTAATACATTGATTATCAATGTATTGCACGAATCTGTTAGCACTTAAAGTGCACTTAAAACAAATATAAGGGAATTTCTTATGCACTCCAATGTCATACAAAAATCATTGGCAAAATCCAAGGTTTTTAGGCACAAAATATTCGCCACTTTTCCCAATATTCTTGAAAATTCTGTCACTTTTTTTGCGGTTTAAATAGATTTTGAATCCAAAAATAAAACAGCAATTATTAGACATTTATGGCAATGACTAACAAAAACACACAATATTTATAACTTGCACGATTTGCTTAAATAGTTTTTACTGTTTTTACATTTATTAAAAAATAATATTTCAATGCATTAAATAATTGTTTTTAATTGCATTTTAATCGTTAGTTTCATTAATGGACTGTAATGTATGTGTAGGTGTTTTAATCACAATAAAATAAAATTGTTTTTATTTAAACATGTTAAATGTCGACTTTTTATAACTTTTACTTTTATGAAAATATAATTACAATTAGTTGTGAATAATTAAATGCAATTAAAACAGAAAACATTTATTAAATGCAATATTATTTTGAGGTAAAACAGAGATAAAACAATGACAAGCTATAAATCAAACCCATATTGTTATGAAGGGATTTAAAGTTACATTTGAAATAATATGTCATCAAAAAACATATAACAACTAACTTATTGGGAATAAAAAAAACTAGTTTTTCAGATTTCTATCGCAGATATAATGATGAGATTTGTTGTCGAATCCCTCATCCGATTCCTATCCATATATTTATATTATTTATACCGAAAGAAAACTTCTTTACAACCAATCAATCACTACTTGTCGTGAATTTAATCGCAAGAATTGCTGATCACAAGTAGTTTTTACTGTATTTTATTTCAATATAGTTTTGAGTTATATTTTTTGGTTAATAACACGAGATTAGAAAAACAAATGTCATCGAAGT